ACTCAGGTTGCTTCCTTTTTCTGAAATGGGAGTTTCGTTTCACCAACAACTTCGGCTGGACCTGTTCATGGCATGCGAGTTAAGTAGCGCTTTAAATATTCAGTGGAAACCGTGAAAGGTTCAGCGATGTTCAACTTACCAATAATGATATTCGGAAGAATAAACTTTTGCGGTAATTTGTATTATGCTGGCAACCAGTTGATGCCAGTTAATTTTCACTTGATAGGCAGTTGTCTAGGAAGTCAGTTCTGCCATGCAGCATTGGCTAAGTCACTGGAGAACAAGGATGATTCAAAAGTGGAGGACCTGAATTACAGATTGGACCAAATTGATTGCAGCCATCAACACGGAGTCGCGGAAGCACACCAAACGAGCTGACGTTTCAAAAGTGGCATGCTTGACCGCTTCAACTTTCAAAGGCTTGTCCCAGAACATTTCGGGTTTTGGATTTCTACTCTTTTCACAGGTGCATCGCGATTATCGCAGTGACATAAGGCACCATATTAATGGGAGAATTCAATTGAGTCTCCCGTTTAAACCAAATTTCTGTGCGAGTGGGACTCGTTATTCGAAAGCCTTTTATTCAAGTTGACCAGTTTCCTCAAGAATATACCCACAAAGTTGCGCAATAATTAGACTGTCGGATTAGCGTCCCTTTTTCGATGGATTTCGACGTCGAAGCATAATGCCCTGACAAGCAGTATTTATCGTTTTTAAAACGCCAATCGCAAAAGTGGGCAACTCTAAACTGACCATTTATCCCGGTTTAGTGAGGTGCGCATTCCGGATGATTACCAAATAGGATGAAACTCTTGTACACTGCTTCCCGACATTTCCGTGTAGATTGGCTCCAAAGACAAGTCAGGGGATGAATGAATCTACTGAATAGCAAAGGTCCTATCTGGGTTGCGGTCGCTCGTTGAGCCGATTCAAAAACGCGAGACCCAAAGTTCAAGTTCTGAAACTACTAGCCGGTCCATCCCGGTTTTGGTTCGAATCCACCTGAAATTCCGTGAAATTCCGCGCACTGCTGATGATTCCCAGTGAGCGTGGAACGGCTTCACAGTTCTTCTCGCCTTGTAGAGACACATAGCCCTTACATTCAAGAGGAGTTATCAGAAAAATATTCCCGCGTTTCATCAGGCTATTATTATCTAATCGACCACATGGTTTCTAGTACAATCGTGGAAACCACAATAGGTTTAGGCATTCAACGAGGGTCCAGGTTTGGAAACATGCAATTGCCACGGGGATTTTCGGCGTAATTTAATCTTATTTTCAGGTGAAACAATAAATGATTTAACTTATGAGGGGTTAGGCAATTCTAATCCGAACTCAGTTGGATATCGTGCATGGAATAAAATTGGGGATAGCCTTTATTGTAATATCGACTGCGATAATCCGAACTGTGGATGTTACCAGTGAACAGTCGTCAGGCGAATAATGGCCAAAATTGATCCAAAACAATAAATCTTGGTATATGCTGGGTTGTTGCATCTAGGATGAAAGTGTTGAAATGTGCCGCCCATCCATTCGAACCGCACTCTAATGAATGAGTGAACGAAGCGGTAGAGCTTTTCATTAAATGAATTAGAGAATCCGTAAACATCCATTTTGTTCTTTTTCCATTTGAAATGCTCTTATTCACCCGAAGACATTCGTTTATCCTTCTGCTTTTGCATGAATGTTAATTCATTATTCTCTGAATATGATAGGTCCTAGGTATCGAAACATGACTTGAATTACTATGAGCTACACATCCTGGAAGGAGATTTACAACGGCATACACTGAATTCCCGTCTTTCTTACGCCACACTTGCCTCGATCGACGTCTTCGTTGCACACTTGAACACACGTTTTCTAACTCTGTCGTGTGGAGTTACAAAACAACAGTCTACATCAGATTTGGTGCTGAGATGGCAGCCTTAGATCAAGGAATCGCCTTAGGTCAGTTACTGTCAGTGGCCAGGTCTGACAGCTCTACCAGGAAAAATATACTGCTGGGTGACACATTCTCTGAGACTGGGAGTATGCTGCCTTGCTTCCATGCGTTTCTGGAACTAGAAAAATGATTCGGATGTCACAGATTTGTGTATGAGCTTCGTCTATCCCACAACACCTTGAGATTACACATGAGGTTTAAAGTCAGCAAATCAAGAGTTCCAGTGAACTAGGAGTTGCATGGTAAACAATCACACCGTCGACAAAATTAGAACCAATTAGCCAAGAAGCACTCTACTTCTGTTCCACTCTCACTGAGGTTAACTGGAATTGTGAATCTCAAGAAACCAACACTCGACGTCTTGGTTGGCGTACCGTAAACTTCACCTGCCTCTTCTCATACACCCATGGCTGCCGAGCTGTCATAAACAAGGCAACTGGCATAGAAAAAAGCTGAGCCTTTAATAAATGTGAAACGAAAATATCGCTGATGGATACGGAGGCACACGTGTGTTTTTGAGGAGGTCAAATTCCACTCATGAATCGTACAAAATCAAGCTTATCCCGAACGGTAAAACGCAATATCCCCTGAGAAAAAAACCAGTGGACTGGTGATTGACCGAGCATATGGTTAGAAAATAAAGCCTGTCCTACTTGAGTTTTCGAGAGGGATGACGGTGTGATGTTTCACATGCAAGGACCTTATATTTGGACTTTGATTGGAACAAATCCTCACACCAACGTTTCACTCCCGAAACGCCCTATAATGTGTTTTGCAGCAGACATCGGATGACGTCAGATGGTGCCAATCGGAATGTTCTTCCCAGGTCCTTCAAAAGCTAGCCAGATGCGCGAAAAAAATAACAGTATGGTTTCAAAAGATAGCTTGTCTGTCTTTCACAAGTAAGCTTCTCTTTTTTCCCGATGCCGCGTGGCAACTTGAAGTTTTGAACAAAACCTGATTGAAAAGTGATAACAGTAGCACAATTCCGCGGAGTTTAGAGGACGACTGGTAACTTCGAAAAGCAGAACACATCATATATCAAGAATCGCGATAAAATCTTCATTGACAAAATGACGGTGGCAACAAGTTTAGCGTGGAGTTATGTGTTTCCCCAGACGAGACAACCACATTATATCGCCGATATCTAGTGGCAGATCACAGCCGATTTTTGCAGCTTGGAACTCCAGCACAACGGGTATTGCTTGACCAATGCCACAGAAAAGCATTCCGTACAAAAATAGCATTGTGATAAATGATCTCGTTACAATCACAAATATGGATCTGAAAATGGCGAAACAATCAAGTCTAAGCTATGTGACGTCCAAGGTTCAATACTAAATGCTAGCGGGTGTAGGTACCTGCGAATGGTGGAAGTGAGCTAGCAATGAGCTACTCACATGTAGTGAAATTATCTAGTTAAAGCTAGGTGATGTCCAAGGTTGAATACTCACATTGGCCGTCATATTCATCTATTTAAACATGGTAAGTAGCTTGTAGTGGTTCATTTGACGTTTCCACACCCAATGCAACAATCGCCCAAGCACTCGTCATATTCGGAGAAGGAAGAATTTACGACCAGAGGCAGGGATTTCTCGTATAAATTTAGAGCATCTACCAGAAGGAATTACGCAAATGAACACCATAAATGAACCCATCATCTGGGCGAGTGGTAATCACTCTATACCCTTAGAGCCACAATTACAATTTCATGAAACACCAGATTGAACATGGAAAACTATTTTAGAATTTCTTTTAGAAAATGGCATTATTCACTCTAAGACCGAAATTTTCCCCCATGGATTGCAGAATTTTAAGTCTTTTTTGAAAACAAATCAATTTAGAGATAATGCGGGACATTGATTTTTTCGGTGTTACTTGCGTGCATGTAATGATTCTCTCTCCAGTTTACCTGCATAAATGCTGGCGGATGTAGGTACCTGAGAATGATGGAAAAGATTTGGCAATAACCCACTCACTGACTACTTTTATTAATTTCTTCACAGTCAGTCATGTTGAAGACGCTGCCGGATATGGTTTGTAATTGATATCTCTCGCATTCGTGTTGTCATTCTCTCTCCATTTTGCCTGAATCAATGCATGGAGATATAGGTACCTGATTGTAGCCAGCTAGCACCATTTCCTATCGTTGACTTGATTTCTTGCTTTTGCAACAACTAGGCTTTTAAACAAATCATGTTATTCCCCAGCGTGAAAATCAACGCACATAGATTGAAGTCACCTCCAGACACTCACAATTCGAAATACCCACCATGGTGTGGAAGGCATTTTAAATTCCATTAAATCTTGTAACGTGTTATCATCGCTTGCTGAACAAGCCAGAAAAGAAAATCTTCCAATACGCAAGCCAATTCCAAAAATAGAAAATGAAGGCTACAGAAAATTGGCGAACTATCGGACCACCATTTAACTGGTCCAGGCCCTTGTAATTTATAGAAAATAAATCCATAGAGCAAGGTAAATTTCATGGTTCAAGGTTTCGCCCGAAGTTCGATTTCACCACCTATCACAACCAGAAGCGTCGTGTGACCATCCATCTAAGCAGTGAGTAAATACCCAGCTTTTGAGAAGTTTACTCTGTGAGCTCAAATGACTGGTCGAATTTTAAGCTGACCTACTGGAAACACGAAAACTTCTCTGGTGGTTTCTAACGTAAAAACACCGTATCAATGTCACCATGGACCAAAGTTATCAACGAATGTACGTATGAAGCAAGGTGACACTTGAGTTCGTTTTGCGGACTCAGTTTGCTGCGCAGTAAATTCTGTAGCGCATAGGTGCTCATTGGAATGATCCACATTTCTCATAAAACACCACAAATCATTAATGTGAGCTGGTTGTCTGGAATAAATTGAACAATGTGATCAATAAGGTCGATGTCACCAGGTTAGCAAAAACTATATACAGCAGTGCTGTTAGATTTGTGGCGGATAGCCTTTCACACTATCGCCATACATGTGTAAGGCAAAGTCCGATTTGAAAGAGGCGCATAGTATAAAATTCCGGGCAGATGAAGCTTTGAGTAAGACTGGACACGATGCGCCGTTATCCGCTTCTTGTTGCGTTCTTGTTCTGCATCTACCACGTTGCATGGGTGGAAGCTGCCGATGTCCACAATTGGTCATCGATATTTAACTACGAACCGTCAACTAACTGGGCCGTCCTTATCGCTGGTTCTAAAACATGGAAAAATTATCGACATCAAGTAGGTCTCAGTTGGTGTTTTTATTGTCTTGTTTACCCAATTTTTGTCTAAATTCCACGTCAAATGATTTTCGAAGTGGTATTGGCACCAATGGTCCCCCAAACAGACGTGTTCTACCTAATTATCTATATGGCTGCAATCTTCAAATTAAAAAGACGGTTGAACAAATTCGCAACAAACGGGTACACATCTCTTGGCCTGTGTTTGTTTTACGGCAGCATTTTCCTTGTCGTGCTACGATATTTCAGAAATCTCAAAAAAACCGCTCACGTTGCGGGGACATTAAGTTTTAAGCCGAACAGACCAATTCCAAGGGCACCGGAACTTACGTGCAATATGAAGAAATGTTTCTTGAATACTTGGTAAGACGAAGTACCGTTTATTTGAGATAAACACATCGAACACCCTTAAGGTTGAATTAACCGTTTCCTTGTGCCGTATTTGCGAGGGTTTATATGAAAATCGTACGCAAATCGGTTACCCATATTTTGTGTGTCCGTAGCCAATAATAAGGTTCAGCGAGTGCGCAGGTTATCGTTCTCACACTTCGTCCACACAATCCCTGGAAGCCTGAAATTCCGCTACCTGTAGGCCTGTCTTTGAAGTCCCTCGTGAAACAACATAAAGTAGACACAGGAAACGTTGTTGTGACAACGAATGTCAAGCTAATTCCTCGGTGGCAGATGCACTCAGTTAGGACCTCATCAAACTAAATCAGATTGCTTAGGCTGTTTCTACCCTGCCCACGAAATAAATCAGTCGGAAAAACATGGACAAACTATTTCACCGCCGTGTTCGATTGCAGTGATTTCTAGAAGGTCACGATCAGCAGGTTGATAAAGGTTGAAGTAAAAATTGCAACCAATTATTTCCAAAGCCCTCGGAGGTTACACGATCACTTTCATGACTGCAGTTGAGAAACTACGATTGATCAGCCGATTAATTGTTCAAAATATTTATTCTGGTGATACTTCATGTATACCAGGGATTGCGTGGCTCATGAAAAGCCAGCTTGGGCCTGATGCGTGTATAAGCTAGCATAGGAAAAGCATAACCTCTCTAGTTCACAAAGATTCTCAATCCATGCAGGTCTTGTTTTCTTACCAGAACTTTGACTGTTCGTTGAATGATATTGTGCTCTCTGCCGAGCAGAAAACTTGTCCAAGTTTCGAAGGAATTTAGCTGGTTGGCCGAGTTCAGTAAGTGCATCTACTTCGATGCACCACAAGCGTGGTGATCAGTATCTTGCAGACAACACTTTCCAGTTGAAGCTAACATCAGATGTCGGCTTGTCCGGAAGGGACGTCAATATTGGTTCTGGTAGGCTTGGTTAAAATTAAGCTTCAACGTCCTCTCGACGGTCAACTGCGGGGTATCCCTCATTTAAGTACAGCGACCTGTGACTTTAATCAGCGCCGAAAATGCCTTTGATTCGGGTTTACACAGGTGCTGTCTTGCGAGCGACGCCAGGTATAGCTAATATCGATGTGGTGTGGCTGTGCTGCAGGGTGGCTTTTGTAAAGGGGCGTCAAACGGCGAGGCGTCTTCCGTTGTTCCGGAATTTACTCCCGCCCGTCTTCAACACTTAAATATTTCAGGCGCCCGCCGTGGCCCGTGCATTTCAACTTTTGTTCTGCACCCACCCAAACGAATCGCGGAGGCGCAAAGTCTGCCTACTTGTCCATTAATGTTTTCGACATCCATAATAATATACGGGCTTTTGTTCTGGTTCTTCCACAAGGTGTTGCTAAAGGCCTACTATCAATGTGGTAGACCCTTCAAAGAGATGGTCATCGGTTCAATGATTAAGAGCAATACAAGCCCCGGTATAACAAGAAGCATAGGCTACTGGATTACCAGAGGAACGCAATGGGGAACAAGTGGTAAATCATGGAAAATCAGTACAGCCACCGTGATTGGATTTTAATACATATTTCGGTAAAATGGCAAGCGTGTCCAGCAAACATGTATGCTGCGCAGCTTATTTCAGAGTGCAAACGCTAAAGATGTACAAGCTGAAGAATTATTTTGAAGCCTCTATGGCTTACTTACATACTCGCCCCGTGGTGTACTTCAGTCAAGGCAACTGAGCTAGTGACACCAGTCGCGGTCGATGTGACATGAAATCACTTGTAAGCGTGTAATCCATACTTGAAATTAGGCTGTGATACTACCGGTGGAAGGAGGAATGCCCTTTATCGAGAAGTCCCTTATCCGCAAACACCAACTAAGCAGCTACAACCTGATGAACACAAAAGTATACTTCTTAATCGCTGATAACTTTCGGAAACTGAAAATTCTCAAGAGTTTTAGGAGAGTTAAAATTACGCTTTTGTAAACAGACATCGTAAAGCAGTTGCGCAAAATCAGTAATAAAATTCACCTCCGATTGGAGGCGACGTGGAGCTGTGCGCCGTTGAATAACACTCAATAAGGAACCCTCCTCATTACTCCCTCAATCAATCTGCTATACGCATGACGATTCGTAGAAGTCGTTATTTTTACATTAGATCGATGGAGGTCGGGCTGAAGGATATTGTGAACCCCAATGCAAAATCTCATGATCAACACTCATCACTATTTGAGCATCATGGGGAAACTCATTTGTGTAATGGAAATTCTCGTTTGATTTTTATTCTCGGACTCCTCGGATAATTCCCAATAAGGATGCATCAATTTATGGTTAACATGGATGTGCTGACAAGGCTATGCCTGAGATTAAGGATATAATCTTGATTGAAAATCGCAAACAATGAATTCCAGGCTCCACAACAGGGACATTTCTGACTAGTTAGCTGCCGTGCCCCAATTCAAGCAGCTAGTTAACGGGAACACACGTGAGTGATATACATTCAAATTTTTGGACACGAACAATGCATGCAAATGCTTTTCAAAGAACTGATATTTGACCAAGAATGCATGATCCTAGGCATTCTGCTTGCCTTCTTAAACTTCTCCAACTTGACTCCCATTTTTATTTTACTTCAGGCGAAAGTTTTTCACACCTACCACGTCTTGCGTGCAAACAAAATTCCAGCGGAGAATATAATCACCTTCGCCTACGACGATATTGCAAGCAATCCCAAGTAAATATCACGTACAATGTTTGCGATCTGATGGTAACTAGTCTAACAGTCTGATAGTAACTAAAGTGCAGGAATCGCTTTTTCCTATTTGGCCATAACTTGTCTCACTTTTACGCCGTGAATTTAACGGATACAAATCGTGAGTGTAATCGGGTTGGAGTAAATTGTGTTTTTGTGCGCCTCTTGAGGTACGTCATAAATTTTCCACCCTTTCATTGCATTTCATAACACCAAACGCCATATAACCCTGATGCAATCAACAAAGTCAATACCAGATGGAATTGCAATCACCGTGGCATGTCCTCACTGGTGAGGGGCAAAATATAACTTTGTTTCGATTGTCAGTGGTCTGAATTTAACAATATCGATACCAAGATGTCGTTTGAGTGCATTGGCCGACTGATGATATGGATCGAGGATAAAGTAGACAACCTAGAATTCTTAACATTTTGTAATACAACTGATTGCTAGCATCAGTAGAGGAAACATTCTGCTGATCTTAAAAGTTCTTTTTGCTTCGAGGTTTCAATAATCGTACGTCGTTTACTGCGCAATCGAATTGCATTCAAGGGCACTGGGTGGGATATGTTCATATAATCTGTTACTCGTGGTGCTTTTGCTGCATATTTACAAAAATAATTGTCATTTCAAAATAAATTTGTAATGTTCAATGTTGTCTACCCACGGGATCATTGTGGGAGGCATACAACAGTGTTGCGATGCCGATCGTTACTTTACATGAATTTGAAAGTGTGACACAGGGTGCACTCATCGTCGTTTAAGTTTAGCCAAATAAAGGACAGGTAGCAAACTTCCAAAAAATTTCCTTTTTTACATTTCTTTCCATTCGAACTACACGTAAATGTTTTGCCAAAAGCTCGCAGCGCCTTCCCATTCTTTTATTTCAGAAATCCGTTTCCAGGCCAAGTGTTCAATGACTACGAGCACGAAGATGTTTACAAAGGTGTGGTAATTGACTACCGTAGAAAAGTATGTCCGTGCGCAGAAAATAAATGAATTTGTTTACTGTGTAACACAGCGTGCAAGTATCATGACTCCGCGTATTGAAACACAATATTAACCGTAGAGCAGACTAATCAGTTTGGCTGCATTCTAGAACGGTTAATTTGCTTGAACGATTACTAGGCATGACGTTATAGGGAACTCCCAAGCAGCCCTCGACCGAGTTCAAACTTATGCTTGCGGCCTAGCAAATAAGCCTTCAGTGTATTAATGATATTCTCACAGCTTAGTTTTCGAAACTAGTCTTCGAAGCTAGCGTTCTTGTCAAAAGAGAAACGTGTATCATTGCTCGTACCCATATGGAGAGCATCGTTCATGTAGTGTGTGCGTCGACTATTGTCTGGAAATTGTGGTGCCTCCTGGCAAACAGCAATCGATGGACACGGAATCAGGATTTGCTATTGGTTTCAGCCAGAGTTCGTCTTGGCAACCTGGCTGATCAAAATGTCATGCTCGGTTAACCCAGCAACGATGAAGTTTTAAGTCCTCATCATTCAGCGACCGTCTTGACAGTAATATGATTGAAGATGGGGAGCAGAGACTAGATTCATTTTGCTTTGCTACAATATAAATGGATGGATATTGCGAGAGGAATATATGTGAACAACACCATTGTCACAGAAATATCTATTTTTCGTGTTTATACGTTTCAGGACGTCAAACCGGATATCTTGGCGAAAGTACTGATAGGCGATGCGAAGCTTGAAAAACAAGGGAAGAGGGTGTTGAAAAGGTGAGATCGCGCAGAAGTAGACATTTCTGATGCACTTACTGATCACAGCCAGAATTCTAGTGTTGCAAGTCAGCGTTTTCGGATTTGCGAAACGCGTGGTTAATAATCTCGTATGCCACGTGGCACATAATCCCCTTAAGTAAAGCTCCCTGCAGGCAGTCGAAAAGATTTGCTTCACTCCAAGAGAAACCCGGTTTATCAAATCTAGTCCATGGGTTATTAATATATCATAGGCGTCAATCGCTTCTTCCAAAAAGTTTGGAAATTATTTAGAAATGCATGGTTGTGAATGGTCAAATAGCCGTTCGGACTTATCCAATTTGGGGTCGGTTGATCTTGGTTTACTCGCATTGAGGATTTGGTTTTACTCAATGCGTTGTCTCGACCATGAGTAACGGATGGTCAAAATCCAAGTTCATTTGCAGTGCTGTCGATTGGCTGAATAGTAGTCCCTCAAATCCGTATCGCCATCCACCGATAACGCTCTCAGCTTCTGGAAAACCTACCTCGCCTTAGGTTCCACGTGGAATGGTATCGTCACAGTTCATCCTTCCTGAATCTTTCCACCAATCACCGACCCGCATATGACGAGAAGTGAAGCGTCCGCTTACAGATGCAAACCAGGAAACCAGGAAATATTTTATCCCCCTACAAATCATTAATCTCTAATTTGGCTAGTTATATATCCTGTGCACTCGAAATGGTGGTCCAGGTTACAACACAACGGGAAATCAGAACGAATCAACCAAGATGAAATACTAACCGCAGAAGTCAGACTGAGAGCCAAAGTAAATGTAGGGGAGGAGACCGTGTCGTAGGTGTAATCGATAACCGATCAATCAGACCATGAACAAATGGTGCTGAGACAGAAAACACTTGAGTTCAGGGAATGCAGACCATATCCAGCAACTACGTTTTCAGACTGGATATGTTTTTTGGCATATTCCGGGAATACTGCGAACAGATTAGCACTCTCTTGATCAACGCATACTATCAGAGCGTTATGCAGGAACTGTGGACCCGGTCATTCACTCACGATGTCACTCGGTTGGTGACAGAACATTTGCAAACTGATCACTAGGATCAGAAAACATTTGGACCTATGGCTTCGTGGACGTCCGTGTCCGAAATGTAGGTTCGTCTCACCTTGAGTACTTCATCGTTTCTCAGTAGTGAAAACAGCATGGGGATATTTTCATAGGCAGATTAACTTGTGCTACCTAGAGCGTGAGTTGGAAAAGCTGAGTGTCATCGCTCCAACGACGAGATAATAAAACTAGCTAGAGTGGAATACCGGCTCTAACCAAATTCGTATAGTAAAAGCCCAAGGAGCTGCCATATCTCGTGAAATAACAGCAAACCAACAGGCGTCCGAAAAATCCACATTCTATTCCCATTTTCATGTGGCCCAACAAATAGCAAAGTGATGGAAGTTAATTCAGCTACAGTTATAGCCAGTAGTGTGTACCAAACCATATTCTGACCCGCCTGCTCGTTGTCCATTTACTTCATATGCGTTAGGTGCTCAATGGATAAGCGGCACAGGAATTGTGCGCATAGATGTCTAAAGGTGAACATTTTTTCTAGACAACATTATCATGTGCCGCGGACAGAAATGAACTGTGGAACTTTTTATACCCTTCTGATTTCCTACATCATCAGTTAATCTTGCGCGAGAGCCCCACCAGATAAGCTACCCTTTAAGACCACATTTACTTTCCCGTTGACTTGCAGCGGTCCTGGAGACAATGTTTTCATCTATTACTCTGGCCATGGTACGATTGCATATATTTCTTTCCCAAACGGAAAAGTGAGTTTCGATAACGTTTGTAACCACGGTTATTTTCGAAAGGAGGTTAAATTGAGAACGGAGTGATAAGGCGCATTGCCTCCCGTGTTTCTTTATAAAACAGAGTTTATAGTTACAACTGACCTACACATACACCGAATGAATGACGTTTGGACCTCACTGTCAAGTTCGATAGGCCTCGTCAAGGTGCCATACTGCTAGCAGCATATAGATTTCGTTTTTATCTAGTTCAAGGTCGCTCAACTCACGTGATTTCGTAGTTGATTCATCCACACTATTAAGCAAGCGTAGGTACGATGAACAAGGAAGCTGGTGGCATAGGGTCACTCATGCGGCGTGGACGATAGGAAGATAAGGTGTCCTTTTTACTTCTCGAGACACAGCGCGAATCATTGATAGTATGAATGGGCCCCCTTATAATACTTTTGAGAAGGCGGACAAACCATGTATAACTGTTCCATCCTTATTAATAATCATCTGTGTTGTGCTTTGCAGTTGCAAAAGCCAACCGTTCGGCCACGGGTGGGCGACCAACAGCCTGATTTATTCGGAGTTGGTCAGGCTATAACGTCGCTCATACCTCAGTCAAGGGACCACATCCCAGGCATTTACACCTTGAATGAGAAGACATATAGAAAATCCATTCACCGTGTGAATTAATCTTCGTTAAGCACTAATTACAGTGTGTTAATAGTGAAATGATATTTGGAATTCGTCAGTTCAATGGAAATCACCCTAAATCTTCATCAAACGTGATTAGGGGTAGAATTCTTTCCACAGATTGGCTTGACATACACGACGGCTTTTCACAACTCAACGAGAAGTACACGACTAATGCTGCGATTCCCCATATCAACGCTACATGCGCCCAGATAGCAGCCCTTTGATCTGAACGGATTTATGTTATTTGATCATTATAGTCATTTTAATATGTTATCAAACATTTAACAGTTAAGACTATCTCGGTGAATAGGATGTGGAAATTGTTAGAAACGGCCATGAAATTGACAATCGGAGTGATAGATTAATCAGTCGTACAAAATAATGAAACCATTAGTTGAATATCAAAACTTTCCCACTGAAGCTTTGATCTGGTTTACCTCAGACCTCGCAGAAAGATATGAAAAAGAATATCAAAAGTCTGAGCGCTATCATTATAACCCGCGCTCTAAGATGGAGATCGCCTGATTCCCACTGTCACTGGTTAAATCCCTGCAAAGTTCGCCTTCCTGTCGATGTTAGTGGAGTTGTTGTCATTTCGGATTCAGATCGCCTGAGTGCGTGTCTGAGGCTGCATGTGCATTGGAGGTTGTGTTAGGTCAGGGTTAATTAAGTTCCCCATCCATTTGGATTCTCCTCTTTTGAATAGGACCTCAAATGAATTTTGATGCACGCACGAAGGCGTCAGTGTTGAAGACGGGTTTTGGTCTTAATGATGATGATGGCGCTAATAATGGTGATGAAGGTGATTGCTCTAGAGCGTCCAATCTTCAACATGTGTATGTGTATAGGGTCCTGGCACAGCGGACTGCTTTGTGATTCACCAGTACTACGCGTCATTTCGTACGTCGGTTGCTGATGCGAGGAGTAATTTGATCCGTGCCCAGTCCAAATTCTTATAAACCTTGAGGTGGACGGAGCTTGAAATGGCGGAAGGCAATCAAGGATTCTATGAAAAATTTGTGTTGTATGCGTATGATGTCCTGGAACACTATTTCACAACTCAGCGAGCAGTACATGACTTATGCTGCAATCCCTTATATCAAGGCTACATGCACCCTGGTAGAAGCCCTTTGAACTGAACGGATTCATGTGATTTGGTCATTATAGTCATTTTTAGTATTATATCAAACATTTAACAGTTAACTCTACCTCGGCGAATAGGATATGGAAATGGTTAAAAACGGCCGTGAAATTGACAATCGGAGTGATAGTGAATCAGTCGTACAAACCCACAACTCATCGTTCCGAATTTTTGATTACGAGCTTATTCATTTCTTGTGTGCCCAATCAAAGTGAGGCCAACTGAATGTCTTCCGGATAGCTGACTTAAACTACGGAAGACACGGTGTGACTGATAATCCAATAAAACAATGACAATCAACATGGTAATAAGCTATAACTTCAAGGGGACGGAACAAAACCCACTCGTGCGTAGTGCTTCAACTGTTCCTAGGGGAAAGGATCACCAAAATCTCAGTACTCGTTCAGCTATAATCTTTCGATTTCATACGAATTTTATTTTTATTTATGCTTTGCTACAGCTCACTGCCACGCAGTTGAGCGATATCCTGGCCGCACAGGAATTGTGCAGATAAATAACTCAAAGTGGAAAATATTTTTTCTACATACCGTGATTGTGTGCCATAGACAGAAATGAACTCCGGAACTTTTTATATCCTTCTGATTTCCATCATCACCAGTTAACCAAGGCCGTTTACATTAAAACCCAGCTACTTAAAATTATGACAAAACCCATATTTTGGGGGAATGTTACAATTGTATTTCCATTTCTACGGTGGCGAAAAGCCGGCAAGCCATGTATAACTCTTCCGTCCTTATTAGAAATCATCGTTGAGGCGCGTTTTGGTTGCAAAATTTAACCGATTGTCCACAGCGGCCAACTGACAGACTGATTTATCCGCTGTTAGTCAGGCTATAACCTCGCCTATCCTCCAGTCAATGAAACCACATCACTGGTAAATTATTCATGGAGTGACAACAATTGCATATCCATTCACTTTGTGAATCATTGTTTGTTCGGTACTAATTAGTGTGTTAATAGTGAGATGATACTTGGAATCATTCAGTTCTATGGCAATCACCATAAATGTTCATCTAACGTGATAAGGGGTGGAATTTTTTTCAGTGATTGGTTTGACATACACGACGGCCTTTCACAACTCAACGAGCAGTACATGACTTATGCTGCAATTCCTTATATCAAGGCTACATGCGTCCATATAAATGAACTGTGGAACTTTTTATACCCTTCTGATTTCCTACATCATCAGTTAATCTTGCGCGAGAGCCCCACCAGATAAGCTACCCTTTAAGACCACATTTACTTTCCCGTTGACTTGCAGCGGTCCTGGAGACAATGTTTTCATCTATTACTCTGGCCATGGTACGATTGCATATATTTCTTTCCCAAACGGAAAAGTGAGTTTCGATAACGTTTGTAACCACGGTTATTTTCGAAAGGAGGTTAAATTGAGAACGGAGTGATTAGGCGCATTGCCTTCCGTGTTTCTTCATAAAACTGAGGTTATAGTTACAACTGCCCTACACATACACCGAATGAAGGAAAAGGAGTTACGACGTTCGGACATCACTGTGAAGTTCGGTCGGCCTCGTCAAGGTGCTGTACTGCTAACAGTATATAGAATTCGTTTTTATCAAGTTCAAGGTCGCTCAACTCACATGATTTCGGGGTTGATTCACCTACACTCTTAAGCAATCATAGGTGCGATAAACAAGGAAGCTGGTCGTATAGGGCCACTCATGCGGCGTAGACCGCTTGTCCACAGCGGCCAACTGACAGACTGATTTATCCGCTGTTAGTCAGGCTATAACCTCGCCTATCCTTCAGTCAATGAAACCACATCACTGGTAAATTATTCATGGAGTGACAACAATTGCATATCCATTCACTTTGTGAATCATTGTTTGTTCGGTACCAATTAGTGTGTTAATAGTGAGATGATACTTGGAATCATTCAGTTCTATGGCAATCACCCTAAATGTTCATCTAACGTGATAAGGGGTGGAATTTTTTCCAGTGATTGGTTTGACATACACGACGGCCTTTCACAACTCAACGAGCAGTACATGACTTATGCTGCAATTCCTTATATCAAGGCTACATGCGTCCATATATGGCATCCATATATATGGCTCTCCTAGTGCTTTCTTAATATTGAACGAAACATATTTAATTCTATCACGGTGAATGGGATGTGGAAATGGTTAAAAGCGGCCACAATATTGACACTTGGATTGTTAGATGAATCAGTCGTAAAAATCGGCAACTCATTATTCCCAATTTTAGACTGCCAGGTTATTCATTCTAACATTGGCCCTTGCGCGATCGTTCCAACGCAGATTTACTGAAAATCACCCGGATAGCTGGCTGAAACCATATCGGACACCGTGGCACTGATATTCATATAAAACGGAGCCAATGAACACGGCAATAAGCTATAACTTCAGGAGGACGGAAAAAAACGCAATCGAACATAGTCCTTCGACTGATCCTGGTGGAAAGTGTTTTCAAAACTAAATACTCGTTCAGATATAATCGTTCGATCTCAAACGAATTTTCTTTTTTTTGTGCTTTGCCACAGCTCAGCGCCACGAAGTTGAACGATATCCTCGTCAAAATGCGTTCAAACAAAAAGTATAACAAATTGGTGTTTTATATGGATGCTTGTTACTCTGGCTCTATGTTCCACGATATTCTTCCTTCATATGTGGGAGGTAAGTAGCGTAATCTCATTTCCTGGCACTCGTGAGGCCCTTTGATATAGCATCCAGCACATTTGGTAGAATGCTGCGCCGGCCAGTACAACTAAGCGAAGTAGCAAGCATTCTTCGTGTATGTTCTCTTGTGATTTGGATTGTAGACAGTCCCCGGCCATCTGCAAGAAGTTTCTAGCCGGATAGCGAACAACATACAACCTTCATCGATTAATGTCGACTCTGCTACTGAATTAGTTACAGCTGGTTAGAAGATGTCATTGCGATATGCGTGCAAATCCTGTGATATTTGAGTTCCCTCTGCAGCAAACACCATTCCCAAGTGGATGCCGTATTTGCAAAATATGAGTGGATCGTTTGTTAAAAGTACTCTTCCACGGATCAAGCTAAAGGTATAATGCAAGTGTCGTTCTCATCGATGGTCCCTTCTGATGTGGATTTTACAAGAGAAAGAAATATTATATAGGTACATGTTGATGAAATTTCGATGATCTAAAGTGATTACAATAATTCATCATGATCGAGGGAAATTCAGGGACTGTGGCTTTCTTATTGACCGAAAAAGAGTAAAAACCATGCACTTCTATCGAAGATTTTTCAGCGAACTTCTGATTACTGTGTTAGCTCCCTAATTCTTGTAGCGTCAAAAATTCTGTGAGGCACAGTATACGTTGGTCGATAATGTTTTCACGCTTTCTTCATAGTGGTCCATTCGTTCTCTTGTCTGAACCCTCCAAAATTGCAGTCTACGTGACCACCTCAGCCAACGAAAAAGAACTGAGCTGGGGTACCTTTTGTAGTGACCCGCAAATCGCTTCATGTCTTTCGACCGAATACTCTTATGCCTGGATTACGGATTCGGAACACGTGAGTTATATCAAAACTGTTGAAGGTAAGCCGCACATGACTATTCATCATCATATCACCAACACAACCATCACCGCCACTCCCACCGCCATTGCCAGCGCCACCGCCAAAGCCAACTTCGTTTTCAAGCATGAAGATTTTTGGAAATGCGGAAATCACGATCGTCCGGCGACACCAAAAACATGAAACGATTAGTTAAATATTAAATATTTCTCACTGACTCTTTTATCTGGTTTGCCTCTGACCTCGCAGAGAGATATGAACGAGAATATCGAAAGTCTGAGTGCTAACAGATGTAGGCCGCCTGATTCCCACTGTCACTGACTAAAACGCTGCAAAGTTCCGTCCCTGTCGATGTTAATAGAGTTGCGGCCATTTCGGATTCAGTTCGCCTGAGTGAGTGTCTGAGTCTACAGATGTATTGAAGATTGTGTTAGGTCAGTGCAAAGTCAGTTTCCCATCAATTTGGATTCTTCTCTTTTGTATAGGACCTCAACTGAATTTTGAATGCATGCACGGAAGCGTCAGTGTTGAAGACGGATGTTGACCATAATGATGATCATGACGCTAATAATGGTGATGATGGTGATCGCCCTAGAGCGTCCAATCCTCAACATATATATGTGTATAGGGTCCTGGTACAGCGGACTGCTTTGTGATTCATCAGTAGTGTGCATCGTTTCGTACGTCGGTTGCTGTTGAGAAGAGTGTAAAATCCGTGACCGGTCCAAATTGTCATAAAACTAGAGGTGGACGAAACTTGACCTGGCGGAAGGCAATTGAGGATTCTATGAAAATTTTATGCTGTATGCGTACGGTGTCCCGGAACACTGGAGTGATCGCCGGTTTATCAGTGGTATATGTCGTCCCATAACCCGTTCCTGTTGACTCCAGTGGTTTCAATAGTTTTGCCTACATTGGATCCATGTTAACATTGCGTAAGCATATCTGTCTGCTTCACATAGTCTACATATGTCATTACTACTCACCCTCGCACAGAAAGACTTGAAAAAGCGTACACTAAATCAGCAGTACGAGGAGGTAAAAAGAAGCACAGAAAATAGTCGCGTGATGAAGTACGGTGAGATGGTGAGTCACAAACTCTCGCGGAGTTATGCATTTTAACCGCTTGTAAAAAGCCAGACTTATGAAAATGAGTGTCTTTTTGACAGAGGAATTTTGTTGTCTCCGAAAATGACGTCAAAGCCCAAAAATATCTGACTAGGGGCTTCAGCAAGGCAGCTAGTCCAGGCATCTGGATATGCAGACCTACGCCATGTCATCTTTTGTATAACCAGGCAATGGCACAGGGTACCTTGTAATGTATAACTTTCTGTGCTATGATACAAAATGAACTCAAGTCTATATGAGTCATCCACAAATAACTCAGGGGAATAATATGTTTACATAATGACTGAAGATTTCATCTGAGAAATTTCACACAAGGAGCTACTGAATATGTGGACACGTGATGTGGTCTCCCTTGATTGAACGATCATTGAGGTTGTGTGGTGTCTAAGTAAACGGCAACCACACTGCTGGTCAAGCCCTTGTGGTTGAACGTTTAAGTAATCAGTCATCGGCCGGAAAATCCCCGGTTCCTTATTCGCTACTGGGGTGGAAAGCGTTTTGCTGCGTACTCTCAAGAAAGACCGGGCATTAATTCAATGCTTCTCCGTTTCCCAACACAGATTAGACACGACAGGATGGAATATTTAATCGAATGTGAAAGTTCTGCTAGGCGGCGCGAAGCGAAAGTGCACAA